GTATATAACTTTAATCCGAAAAGGTGTTAGAATATCGCTTTTTGTGTTGAAATTGAAATTATTCCTTCAACAAGAATAATTGCAGCTCGCTACTAATCTTTTCATAATTCAGTTATACAGGGTGGCCTATCCGTGTGCGGACGGAATATTACTCATAAACAAATACATTTTGAGAAAATGGGATGTTATACATGACATTTGAGGGCACATTTCTAAAATATTGGCCATTATACAGGATGTCCCAATTTCGACCTACTTATTAAAGTTGTGATTTTTCAAATGGTATGCCTCAAATTGTATTGCATACTTTTATAAACCAATTCAAAATAAGAAGAATGATATAACATACTATGAGGTTTTGGTAATTAGCTACTGAGATGTAAGGTGTTTTGTCTAGAAAAACCCCCCAATTCGGCAACCCCTGACTCCGCCATTTTGACATTTTGAATGCTGAATTTTGTATTGAAAAAACTTATCTTATTTTGTTACTTTTTCGAATTTTAATATTTGGTCATACAGGGTGGTCAAAAACGCAAATTGTAGTTTTTCTCAAAACTTTCAAATGCGTCACCCTGTGTATTTTTGCAATTTTGGATTCAAATTTTTTTTATATTAGACACATAAGCGTTTTTTACGGCTATTTTTTCGGTTATTAGCACGTCTTTAAGGAACGGCTTAATTCCCTAAATTATCGCATCATCCTTGGAAACAAGTAAATTGTTGATTAGTTACAAACTGTAAAAATTAGCTTTGTGAGCATTATAATTAAAAAGTGTTTGAAAATTAATTTTTCTAAAGAAGAAATAGTGAATATGGTGTTCGTTTCCTAGCAACTCGCATTCATAATAATCTAATGATTTTATCGGAATCAAACCTTATACCAAAAAAACTTATAAAAATTGAATTCAAACCTGGACAAATATACAGAGTGATGCATTTGAAATTTTTGAGGAAAAGTACAATCCGCGTTTTTGACCACCTTGTATGAGCAAAGATGAAAATTTGAAAAATTGACAAATAAGATAAAAGCTGAGGTGTGCAAGTTTTTTTTTATTATCAAATCAGCTCTTCAAATTTCAAAATGGCGGATGGAGGACGGGTTTTCTGGACAAAACAATTTACATCTCAGTAGCTAATTACCAAAGCCGTATAGTATGTTATATCAATCTTCTTCTTTTGAACGGGATTATTCAAATATGCAATAAAATTTGAGGCATTCCATTTAAAAAATCACAACTTTGATATGTAGGTCGAAATTGGGACACCCTGTATAATGGCCAATATTTTAGAAATGTGTTCTCAAATGTCATGTATAACATGCCATAAATAGATTTCCCAAAATGTATTTGCTTATGAATAATATTACGTCCACGCATGGATGGGCCACCCTGTATATTTATTTGCTACTAATGATGACTAATTCGGTTAAGGTTTATTGTAACCAAAACAATAGTAATCTTACAACACGATAGTAAACAATATTTTTGGTAGAATTTTGTATATATAAACACGCTATACTCAGAATATACATGTACATACGTTTCGGCAGAATAAAATTGTAAAAATCAAATGATCAATTTTCAATATATACTAAGTGACATATAAATCCGAACACCCAGTTTAAATGGTTTTATTTTAATAAAATTTTGTATAAGTACTTAATGAAGCATAATAAGTAAATGATAAAAATTTCAAAATGATTGCACTGCTTTAAAGCCCTTTGACCTTTAATAATGTGTGGATGCACCCTGATGTGCTACGCATTCTCCAACGCGCCTAGGCATGCTTCTGATCAGGTGGTCAATGTCCTCCTGTGGTATCTCATTCCAGGCAACCACCAACTCCTCTCGAAGTGCTCCTAGAGTCTGAGGAGGACGTTGCAAATTGAGCAATCTCCTACCCATCATATCCCACACGTGCTCAATTGGGGATAAGTCGGGAGATCTTGGTGGCCATGGTAACAATGTGACATCATTATGTTGAAAGAAGTCTATTGTGACTCTTGCAACATGTGGTCGGGCATTATCTTGTTGGAAAGTTGGATCTGCCAGGGTGTCAAGATAGGGTAAAAGATGGGGTTCTAGAACTTCGTGGATATAACGCTGCGCGTTCATGTTACCTCTGATGAAGATTAAAGGTGACCTGGAACCATAAGCTATAGCACCCCAAGCCATAACTCGAACAGTGTGATGAACATGTCTTTCAACAAAAAACTGTGGATTCCTCCTTTTACCACGTCGCCTTCTAACCCTAGCACGACCATCGTACATGCCTAAACAAAATCGAGACTAGTCACTAAAGACAATACTGTTCCTGATCCCAGAGTGACCATTGTCTGCACCACTCAAGGCGATTACGTCGGTGTTCTCGAGTTAAAGGGAGGACCCAGTGTGGCCGGTATGAAAACAAGCCAAAACTTCTCATTCGTCGGTAAACACTTCGCATGCCAATAGGTCTTCCGTGTTCTGCAAACCATTCATTTGCAATGGACCTGGTAGTGGAGAAACGGTCCCTTAAGGCCAATAATCTTAGGCGGCGATCTTCACGGTCTGTTGTTCTACGGCGGCGTCCAGTGCCCCTTGCTCTTCGCGTACGGCCTTCTCGAAGCCATGCCTAACAACACCTAAGCACAGTGTCTACACTTCTTTGCACTCTAACTGCAATTGCCCGAAAAGAAAGTCCAGCTTCCCGAAGTCCCACTATACGGCCCCTATCAAACTCACTAAGTTGACGAAATCGTACAGGTCTCCGTACTCTAGGCATCGTAACCGATCGTAAAGGATGTCAAGAACCAAAATCCGCCAACGTTGATTATTTACTGCGGCTGAAATATTCATTTTTAGAGCGTTAGTGAATTAAAAAAAGCAGTATAAAAACCGGAATGTCCAATTGATAAGGCTGAAAATTTTTTCACTTGTTATTTACAGTAAGATAAATACATTCACCAACTTTTATTAAAATAAAACCATTTAAACTGGGTGTTCGGATTTATATGTCACTTAGTATATATTCCTATGGAAAATTTATTAATGTTAATTATCTTTATCGTTGAAATAGAATTTTACCACAAAAACTAGATTCGTCAAGATACATCCTCAAGTAGTGTAGGAACAACAACAAATTTTCAGGTCATGAGTACCAGCGATGTTTTACAGCTACGTTAAGAAAAGGGCGTCAAGTAGGTTGACTCTGCAATTCACGCGCATCGCCGTTATCAGTTCCTGGAGCACAACTTAAGCCCTATGAGAATAAAGTTGATTATGAACATGTATAACAGATACAGTAAACGGATTTTGTTATCCAAGAAGTATCTCTGCATCTGCTTGGATAAATATTTTGATTTGGCCTTTTGAATAATCTTATTCAAATAACAGCCTCGTTTGCCATATCCGACACCGAAAAACAATATGAGAAATCGGAATCTTTAAAGTTTACAAAGTAACCCCAAATATTTTCCAAACATTCACTAGTATAGGCGCCATTGCTTGGTTAAACCTCTGTTTTACAACAATACTCTCAAGAGTATTCAGGCAATTTGGCAACATTGAAATGATTGTTCTTCCGTACTCGTATTTTTGACGATGAAAATAGCACATTGCTTATATCCCGAAAACTACCAACTTCGAGGAAAAGTGCATAAGAACCTTTTTTCAGAATCACCCAAAAAAAAAACAGGAAAAAACTGTATCTGAGTAGAGAAAGCCAATTTTTGCAGTTTTTTTTACAAAAGTTGTTTAAAACAATTATCGACGCAATTTTGAGACTGAAACCATGCAGATTCCGTGAAAAGGTTCCCTTTTTCAAATTAGACTGCAAAAAGACCAACAAGAATATTTGAGGCCAAATGGAAGTGTACATAAAATTGGACAAGCTACGTTGCATTTTCTGACTGGTGTCATATTAAAGGTGATTTTATTTTTTCCAGATGATTTTATTTTTTTTTTGACGAAAAAATATCAAACTCACCAACGAAACAACCCCAGGTCTTTTCAATATTTATTTAGATATACAAAGTCTGCTTACATGAACTATTCTAAATATATCGTACTTTGTACTATGATACAGGAACAAAGGCGTAGGGGTCCGCCATATTGCTAGCAGTCATTCATATGCTTCAACCGAAATCGAATCACTTACAAGCCATAGCAAATAAGAAATTGAGTTAACCTGAATTCTAAAATGAGTCCTAAAGACCCACGTGACAAAAAAAAGTTATAAGAAATACATTTTCAGAATTCACTAGTATCGAAAAAAATCGTTGAAGTACCCAAAATATAATATAAAACATTTTTGGCGGTTATAAGGACATGATCTCGTTTCATTTTTACATCCTTTTCAAAGAAAAAGATGATTACGTGTTTGCTACATCTACAGACTAATAAGTACGGTTTTTAAATCTTGCAGATTATTAGAAAAAAAGCTTTCTATCCATCAAAACTTCCACAATTTTTGTTTGTGCAATTTTTGACATGATCTCATTTCATTTTTACATCTTTTTAAAAAAAACAATGCATGTTTGCTACACCTATAGACTCATACATACGGTTTCTAAACCTTGCAGTTTATTAGAAAAAAAGCTTCCTATTCATCAAAACTTTCAAAAACTTCGATTGCGTATTGCAATTTTTAGTCCACAGAAGGCAAAGTTTATTTTTTTACGTAAAGCTGTTTAACAACTTATAAAGACTATTATTTACAAGACTAGTGGTACTGCCTCTCAAAAATTTATTGATTTATAAACTGAGTTACAGACTAGTTTTAATTGTATAAACCTAAAAAATGAAATTTTAGTGGATAATGTCTGGAATTCAAATGAAATGCTTATAAGAATAAATAAATAAACAATGGAAAATGAAAGGTCAAAAATGGAAAAATTATCCAATAATACGGAAAATTCAATTCAACAGACTAAACGTTTTTTGCTAAAGCATACGAGTATACTTCACTTTTGTAGAGATATAATTCTTCAAGCTATGATAATACTCGTCCATCACTTTTCTTCAATAACAAAGGGCCATCAGCGTCACTGAACCCATACACACGGTTTTATCACCTACTACTTTCCTCTTACTTTCAGGCACATGTTTTCTGCTTGGCATTCTGGTCACTCTATCTCCTGGAAACGTGATTTGATTCAGATCCACAGGATCGTAGACAAAAAGAACATCTGTTTGAGAGGTCGGTTCGACTCCGCCCAAAGGTTTCGTCCCAATATCGTAGTAATAACTCCTATCCAGGTTTCTGCTAAACGCCCCCGTCGTGTAGATCAGGAATATGTAGAACACTACCACTGTACGTGACATAGCTGAGTCCACTTGTTTTTTTTACTTTGTTATTGCAGACACGATCAGCTTGGTGAATGGACAAAGAATGGAAGCCAGCTTTGGAGTGGGTAAGCATTTATTGAGATTTCAGGAACAGTGAAGTGGCCATTTTTTCTTGACATTCGACCTATAGCCTGATAAGCAGGACGGGACTCGTGATTTACCGATACTGCAGTGGAAGTGAAGTTTTTTATGGGGAACGTGCGTTTCGGATGGCGGTGTTTTGATTTCACTTGCCGCTGATAACATTTTTCGGTCAGCTTAGGTGAGATGAGATTAAATAGTCCCCGATTTCGCGCGTTTGTTTTTGATGTTATCTCTGAATACGAGGGGATTCAGAAACTCTACGAGGGTGGTAAGATAAGTGCTTAGCTCCCAAAAGAAAAACGAAAATTTTGGATAGGTGGCGATTTATTATTTCTTGAACCAGTTACAGAAAATGAAACAGAATATACCATTTACAGCCTAAAAAATAAAAAGAGTCCAGGTTTAGATGGCATACGGTCAGTGGTACTCAAAAAAATTGCACCTGAAGTTGGAAAACTAACATTTTTAACAAATTTGATAATTGAATATGAATGAATAATAACACCGATTCATAAATCTGGCGACATATCTAATACCAGCAACTATAGACCAATAACATTAATATCTAATTTGGCAAAGATACCTAGATGAAACAATCGTAAAGGCTAGGCGCATTAGTTTTTTTAACAAAAATAAGCTTATACATAAAAATTAATTTGGATTTCAAAAGAATAAATCTGTACCTAAGACGCGTTTTCCTTGTTGATTTCAAAAATTCATAAGTTATTAGAGCAAAGTAAATATACTAAGTGACATATAAATCCGAACACCCAGTTTAAATCGTTTTATTTTAACAAAAGTTGGTGAATGTATTTATCTTACTGTAAATAACAAGTGAAAAAATTTTCAGCCTTATCAGTTGGACATTCCGGTTTTTATACTGCTTTTTTTTAATTCACTAACGCTCTAAAAATGAATATTTCAGCCGCAGTGAAGAATCAACGTTGGCGGATTTTGGTTCTTGACATCCTTTACGATCGGTTACGATGCCTAGAGTACGGAGACCTGTACGATTTCGTCAACTTAGTGAGTTTGATAGGGGCCGTATAGTGGGACTTCGGGAAGCTGGACTTTCTTTTCGGGCAATTGCGGTTAGAGTGCAAAGAAGTGTAGACACTGTGGTTAGGTGTTGTCAGGCATGGCTTCGAGAAGGCCGTACGCAAAGAGCAAGGGGCACTGGACGCCGCCGTAGAACAACAGACCGTGAAGATCGCCGCCTAAGATTATTGGACTAAAGGGACCGTTTCTCCACTACCAGGTCCATTGCAAATGAATGGTTTGCAGAACACGGAAGACCTATTGGCATGCGAAGTGTTTACCGACGAATGAGAAGTTTGGCTTGTTTTCATACCGGTCACACTGGGTCCTCCCTTTAACTCGAGAACACCGACGTAATCGCCTTGAGTGGTGCAGAAAATGGTCTCTCTGGGATCAGCAATGGAACAGTATTGTCTTTAGTGACGAGTCTCGATTTTGTTTAGGCATGCACGATGGTCGTGCCAGGGTTAGAAGGCGATGTGGTGAAAGGAGGAATCCACAGTTTTTTTTGAAAGACATGTTCATCACACTGTTGGAGTTATGGTTTGGGGTGCTATAGCTTATGGTTCCAGGTCACCTTTAATCTTCATCAGAGTTAACATGAACGCGCAGCGTTATATCCACGAAGTTCTAGAACCCCATCTTATACCCTATCTTGACACCCTGGCAGATCCAGCTTTTCCAACAAGATAATGCCCGACCACATGTTGCAAGAGTCACAATAGACTTCTTTCAACATAATGATGTCACATTGTTACCATGGCCACCAAGATCTCCCGACTTATCCCCAATTGAGCACGTGTGGGATATGATGGGTAGGAGATTGCTTAATTTGCAACGTCCTCCTCAGAGTCTAGAAGCACTTCGAGAGGAGTTGGTGGTTGCCTGGAATGAGATACCACAGGAGGACAGTGACCACCTGATCAGAAGCATGCCTAGGCGCGTTGGAGAATGCGTAGCACATCCGGGTGCATCCACACATTATTAAAAGTCAAAGGGCTTTAAAGCAGTGCAATCATTTTAAATTTTTATCATTTACTTATTATGCTTCATTAAGTACAAACAAAATTTTATTAAAATAAAACCATTTAAACTGGGTGTTCGGATTTATATGTCACTTAGTATATATATATATATATATATATATATATATATATATTATGCATATTCTTAAACCTAGCAAAAGCGTTCAATGCGGAGGATCACTGGCTACTATTAGAAACTTTATACGATACAGGAATTAGAGGAAACGCTCAAAACCTTATGAGAACTTACCTGTTTTACAGAAAGCGATATGTTCAAATAAATGATTCCTTAAGTTCAGAAAAAACTGTGACTTATGGGGTACCACAAGGGACAGTTCTAGGCCCGTTATTTTTTACTGTGTATATCAATCGCCTACTTAGCTTGAAGTCGCAAGGCACAATAATATGTTTTGCAGATGACACAGCGATACTTTATTCTAATAACAATTCATGGGGTAATCTGAAAGAGACTGTTGAAAATGACATTATTTTAATTTCAGATTGGTTTAGAAAAATATCTCACAATAGATTTTCAGAAACCAAATATATGCCATTCAGAAACATAAATTACCGTCATTTACCTCTTTACAAATTAAATGTGACAATACAAGTACTCTAATACATCCAGCTGATAAAACAAAATACTTAGGTGTTCATTTGGATCCTCATTTAAAGTGGAATGTCCATGTACCTCACTAAATATCTAGGCCATGAAACAATGAAGATTTTATATCATGCACTTATTGAATATCGCCTAAATTATGCCATACTAGCTTGGGATGGTGCTCTCACCAACCAAATTAAGAAGCTAGAAATAATCCAAAAACAATTTTTGAAAATTATTTTCAATCGGCCAATTCTATATTCATCTGATAGGTTATATTCCGAAGCGAGACTACTCGATCTTAGGCTACTCTTTTTTATAATGTTTTGATCCATTCATTCAAAAATAAAACAAACCTTATTTCATTGGACCACAAATATGAAACAAGAAGTAAAGTCGAGGATATTAAAAGAACACCGTTTACAACAAAAAATGTAGGTCGAAGATGCTTCAGTTAGCTCCCCACTAGATTTTATAACTTTTTACCAAGCCATATAAGATCCATTTCGAATAAAAATAGATTCAAAATTGGCATAAAAAAATTTTTGTTTAATAATAATCGACATGAAATAAAAAAACTCACTAAAACGAAAATAAACTAGTATTAAAATATAATATATGTATATTATTACACTTACCTTTATGGTTATGTTGTGTTTAAATTTATGTATTAGCTATATTTAACTATGTTTAAAGCAAAAATTGTTATGGAAAATGTTTTCCCACGCACAAGAATTAAATTGTTCTGTGGGATTATTTCAGTTATTTGCGCATATATGCATATTTATTTTCAATAAACTGTGGTACTTTATACGTGAATAAACTCCTCTTAGCTCAATGCGCTTGACCCATCGATGCTAAGACTTCTTTAAGCAGTTTGAAAAATACCTTTTCTGTCGGTCTTTGATTTCGCTGCGCGATCTCTCTTCCAAAAGCAAGACTCGAATCACCAACCGATATTACTCCTTTGCCATTTTTCTGAAATCAGCGGACACGCTTGCTTCCACATGTGGTAAAAACAAAACTACGAGTATGATTTGACTGAAATTTTGACACTAGCCGTCTAAGAAAATGTACCAGCCGATAGTAAATTTCCTTTGCGAAAACGGAGCCATCAGGCGGCGAGGGTGTGTACTTATCGGGTCGCCCTCGTATAAACAAGTGCGGCTTTTGGTATTATATTGAATAATAATAATAATAATAATATAATAATATACGCCTTTATTACAAAAAAAAATATGTACATGGTACATACTGAAAGTGGGACTCAACTGGCGAAGTTAGCAATGCTACTCTTACACTTAACCAGCTGAATCAATAAACACAGTGATGTTAAATAAATTAAAATATATATATATATATATATATATATACATACACATATATACACATATACACATATACACATATATATATATATATACAGGGTGACTTTGAAGTTGAGTCATTAATTTTCAGATAATGACTGTAGAAGGAACATAAACCAAAATATGTGTGTAAAAATAAAAAAAAAATTAAAAAAATTTGTTTACCTTGTTTTATATAGTATCCTCCCGACAAGTATTTCAGTGCGGACCTGTATTTGATCGTGAGGTCTGGGAGCACCGGCATGCAGTCCCCTATGTGGTCTTAAGTCACCTGATTCACGAGCCCGTTGTACTACATTAACAAAGGCACGAGGGGTTGGTTGCACTCGATTGGGAAACCGATCCGCATAAACATGTGCCATTTTTTATTTCGTTTGAGCCACGCAACAGACATTACTATTCACTGACACTGACTGTATACAAATGAATAAAATAATTGTAAAAACATCGTTCCAAATTCTTTCGCTTTTTTGTTTCCGATGCGATGAACCGATACGGCGGATTATATCCGTTGTCGCCAAACACGAGCACATAATATTATTATTGAGACAGGGCGGTACTCAAACTTCCAAAGGGCTATAACTTTGTTACTTTAATTTTACCAGAAAAATGGTAAAGGAAAAAACATTTCTTTTGATCAGATCTACTCACTGTTAAAATAAATGACTCAACTTCGAAGTCACCCTGTATATATACACACACATATACACATACCTATGTATACATATATATCATGCGCCTAAAAATAATATTAGCTGTGGTTATTACTTTGTGAATAAATACTAGATGGTGATATTCGACCAATTTATCAAATTTGAGCCATTTCAGCGTCCTGTATTTCTGTGATACATGGTCAAATTTTCTCAATCCACATATAAAATGGACACAATTATTTTGTATAATTTGAATTCTATTTTTCGTTATTTTGTCAAGGCATGTGAAATAAA